CACTACGCGGCAAACGTCCCGATACCATCCACACCATCTGGATGCTTTGCGGTCCACCACTGTACGTTTCAGAAAGAGTTTTCTTCCGCGTACGACCTCTCTGTGGAATAGTTTACCGCTGGCGATTTTTCCGGACCGATACGACCTAGGGACCTTCAAGAAACGAGCTTACTCCTTTCTAAAGGGCCGGCAACGCACCTGCAATTCCCCTGGTGTTGCGGTTGATCATAGGCGGCGGTAGTCACTTAACATCAGGTGGGCCGCATGCTCGTTTGCCCCCTCTGCTACAAAAAAAGCATTATAGCGTATAATGCTTATTAAGCATGAGCATTGAGTGTTACTCCTCTATATATTGTTAAACAGATTCAAAAAGCGATATATCACACGCTAAGAACTGGGACAATATGCGGTATTATTTAGGGCACAGCCTAAATAATACCGCATGTTGTGTGTTTTAGAATTTAACCTTCGCTGCGTGCTGTTTATTTGTCAGGAATTATTCATCAATGTATCAAAGTACTTCGATTTATTTGTCCAAAACAAGAATATTTATATCCAATCACTTAAAAAGAAAAAAAAGAAGAAAGCAAAGTTACCAAAAATACTCATAGTTTTAAAAAACCTGTATTGTAATAAATTTAAATCAAATAAACAACTTTTGTGACTGACGTAGGAAATAAAAATTCGCAATAACGACGAGAATATCCATGTCGCTGAAAAATTTAAAATGAAAATAATTTTTCACATAAGTTTAAAGTCAAAAAACGGATGGTAAAATATATACAATGGTAGGTAGAGAAGAACTATGTTACCATAACAAAGCTATTTGTAGGGTCTTATAAAAAACTAAATTAAAATTATTCCCTAAATTGTCAAAGATACTTATTAAACATGGTAATACCTCTTGGCAAGACAATAAAACGTATTGAATATGATAAAATATGTTGGCCACAAAATATACCTTGGTTATTTTTGGGGAGTCTATGTTATATACTAAATCAGGACTGTCAAGACCCAGACAAATTTCAGTTCGTTATCATCACAGCACATCACAGTCTAAAATAATGGTCTTGAATTACCTGCATTTACTGAAATTGCATTCTTTGCAAAGCATATATAGGTAAGCCGGCACGAGGCTGTCACAGGAGAACATTTCTTTCCTATCAAATGCCAATTCATTAAGCTATATGGCTGGTTGAAGGTAATTTGGCAATGAAGTAGCTAAGTTCCTTCGGCTTCTACCAATAAACAATTGTTTAAGCAGAATTAAAAAGCTAGTAAAGCTACTTCAGCTGATCAATATGCTGAACCGGCTATGTTGATTTTGTTGGCGGATGGTTAAGCTGTTTTATACGAATTCTGGTTTCTCTTCTTTCACTGAAATTTTTCAGTATCACTGAAAGTTGAAACTGAAAGTTTTTAGAACTGACTAAAGGAAAAATAAAAAACAGACTTTTTCGTAATTTTAAGAGGGAAAATTAAGGCTTCCTATTATTCTAATTGACGTTACGGTCTTTTAAATGAATAAAAAAACTATCGTTTATACCTGGTTTGATGACTTTTTGCATGATTAAGGAATGCCACTGATCACAGCGCGAGGGGCGCCTTTTAATGACGCGATCACAAAATAATTTCAGCATCGTACAGCTCATAATAGAACCTGATAAGAACGGTTATTAATAGAGTATTATATTAATATATTATGTTATTATAGTATATATAGTATTATAATGAGTCACGGTAGCTCAGGGGCTAAGCGCTCGCTGTAAATTTCACAGGACGAGAGCAACCCGAGTTCGATCCCCGCCGGCACCAATGAAATTGTTAATTGAAATTTTAAGTGCTGATTTGCCACGTGCTCGGCGGTGAAGGAAACCACGTGAGGAAATCTGCATGTCAGAAAAATGAAAAAAATTACATTTTAAGACATGTGTAGTTCGCTAACCACATTGGGACATTACGGCGGCCATTTCCTTGCCCTAAAACCCTCTTAGAAATGAGAAAAGGTCTGTGCCCAGCAATGGGACTTATATAAGCTGTAACTTTAACTTTAACTATAGTATTATGTTGAGTATTGTACAGATATGTCAGATGACTGATCGTAGTCTTTACCGGTATGCTGAAAAATAACTATTTTTACAGGAAACGTGGTAATAATTATAGCTGAGTCAATGGACTTTCCGTTACTACAAATTAGTATTTTTTTGTTTATAGTCTCTCAAATATTATATGTTTTCTGTATTGTTTTTAACTGCAAATAGGTTTTTTCTTTTTTAGGCTCAGACTCCGTCAAAGAGGAGACGAGACGAGAGGAGGGATGTGTTTTAAACAACAAATAGAATTCGTTATTCACACATCTCGTCTCCACTCAGCTTCGGTGGATACCACTGAGCGGCGATGTATTGCAGTAATTTCAGGCTAGTATTCTTCCTCAAGTAAAAGAAGATACAGTTTTACAATAGTGACATGACTAAGACGTCTGCCTGTCATGTCAGATTGCGCTAAACTGTGCGTTGATCACAACGCTCGCCGAACGCAGATCAATTCCGAATTTCAGCACACATCTCCGTTCCAGTCTAGCCAGTAGGTATCTCCGCACAGCTTCGGTGCATACAACCTAGCTGAAAACCATCCCTTCTCATCTCCGCTCCGGACATCTCCACACATCTTCGCATTGGTTAAGCCCGGGCCTTATTTTTTTTTTCATTCTTAAACATAGACAAAAAACTACAATTTCAAACGCCCATGTAGATTATATATGGTAATGTTTTGACATCGTCTCTGGAAAACAAACTTCAAACCAAAATGCAAGCTACACAGTGTGTCCAGAAAGACTATACTATGTAGTAGCAGTTAATAGTTTCTTCAATTTTAAGCCTACTTTGAAAACTATGACAGTATTAGCAACTTCTTACTTTAGTTTATGTGTATATAGAATTGGTTCAATTCATCTTTTAATTTTAGCTGGACGATTAATGTCGTTCAGGTTATTTTGGGTGATTTGTTCATCGAGGGAACAGATTTATTTTTATACGGTCAATTTGTGATAAACGAGAAAGTCTATAGACCTGTAGCTAACTTCAATTCGGTGTCACTTCTTAGCAATAAGATGTAACGCCATATATCTTTATCTTACACTATTTATATAATGATTACTTATATTTACGCGAATAAAACTAACTTTACGTAATTAAAACTAATTTTTTTAAGCTCATTCTCCGTAGATCGGTTCAAAAATTTAAAATTTGAAAATAGTCAAGAGCCCGAAATGTCGGAAATTAAAAAAAACTTAAAATTAAACGCGATAAAATCCATAAAATTAATTTTATTCCGCACTATGTATATGTCACAATCAAAATTCCTCTACGCGTATCAAATGTAGGAGTACCATCATGTGTATCAAAATTGTTACGGCTTTTCAAAAGTCCATAGTTGAACACTAAGGAATGTTACATACACAGTGTCGCATGAACCACATCGTCAGGATCATTATTTTTATAACAAATATATGCTACAATTAAAATATTTTGACACATATTAAGTAAATTGCGGCATACTATCTCGTTTATCATCAAGGAATGTCATAACCGTGGGCCGTGTTCTGTGTGATACTGTTTTAAATTAATATTCTTGATTTTTATTTTTCTACTATATCAGGTCATAAAGGTCCCCTGGAATGGACATGGGCTCACCCGTTAAGGAAACGACTTGCCAAATTTGTCAAGCCTGGGAGGCAGATTGACGATGTAGAAACCTTACTACAATCTAGACTTGTGACGTGGTGATGGCCTAAGAAAAATCTAACGCTTCATTTTATACCTTAAGTGTCGCAAGAGGCGATTAGTGGAATTTCAAAAAGATACTACACTCAAAGATAGCGCTATAAACATTCCGTTTACCCTCGACTTAAAAACGACGAATGATGTAGTGCAGCGATAAAGGTGCGAAATGTTTGATACTGATGCTGAAGCTGATGTCTAGCGATGGATTTTACAGGTTGATGGAGAAAAAGCCTTCAGATTATCTTAGTCTAAATTTGCTATGTCAACACTGCAGTGGACATTGAAAAGACAACTTTCCTTAGTATATTCCTTTTAGTCGAACGTTAATACTTTTATTGACTGAGTTTGCAATTGCTTACGGACCCTAGGTTAGAACAGAAAAAAAAAATTATGAAGTTGTTTATAATAATGTCAACATGATTATAAATTTATTACCGTTAAAAAATTTTCTTCTGGTTTCGGGTAAGAAAACGGGGGAAGAAACTTCACATTTCTTTAAAGTGTGTTTTCATTGTGTTTAAAGTTCTACTTCTACTGTATTGGGGTTTGTTATTGTGTCTCTTTGTCTTGTTAGATCTTACCAGTTTTTAACACTATATCAAAACCTCTCTGTGATGGATCTTCGGACATTAGAAATAGTTTCGCTAAAACCCATTTCAACAAAGTAGTAAAACAATAAAACATGTACGTACATTTTAGTATTTCTTTTATTATCGAAGCGCATTGAAACTAGTTTTACATATTATACATTTAAACATCTTTTGTTACAAATGATATTCAATATAACGGAGTAAGAAACCCTTGGCCTTCGTACAAAAATATACGAAAGGTTATTGTTGGGTTATCTCTCACTATGTAGTTTCTTAATCTTAATAAAATTGTTCTGATTCAAAGTTAATGGTCGATTGCGATATTTCGGTTCGGAAATATGCAACTGCTTTTCTTGAGTATCAACTTGCTCGAAACCGTAATGGTATACTATTTGGCGTGTTATTATTTTCAACGTCTTAAAATAAGTTGGACTAATTTTCATCGTCTATTATTGACGAAGAAAACTTGTAGTGCTTTCAGCTATCAAGTGATCCGGTACAACTGACATCTTAACAAATAATTTCTGACCTTCTGCTTCATTATTTTGCATCGAGGGGAGCATACTCGACAGTTACAGCGAAGAGGAACTCCAGACTGTTTGGGCTATTAGGGATAATGGGCCGTGGGATGTGGGGTGACTCTGCAGTAAGTGCTGTGAATGAAACCGAGCGACTCCCCGCCGTTCTCATGGCGCGCACGCGCGGGGATCTGCGCGCGCATAAATACGTCCACACGAGGAGCAAGCATCAGTCAATTTTGAAGCGCCAAGCGTGGCGCTCGTCTGCAACTGTATAGTCTGCGTAACTCCAAATACTACGTACGCATCGCGCGCGACTTTCAAGGACTCTAAACAAGGTACTGTACTTTTGTTTCAAGTTATTTCTCGGTCGATAGGGATACAGGAGAGCGTGCCCCACTGTCACGCACTACGGAGGTGGAAACTCCCCGTTGGAGCACGTGCAGTGCACTCTTGCCTCATGAGCGTTGCATTGCGAATTGCAACACCGGCTAAAATAACCGGTGCCATCGAATACGCTCGCGATATTTTGCATCGTGCTTGCTATGCGAAGTTTTGTTATCTTTTACATTCACCATTTAGGGGATTTGCATACAGTTCCAAAAGTTCACATTACTAATTTCTGATTTAATGAAGTACTCGTAATCAACAAGCAAGAAGACTTCAAAATTAATATTTCATTTCTTACTATATGTTCTCACATTTACTATAACGTTTATTTCAATAAGTATCATGAACTATAAAATAATTTATTAAAAAGATTCTTTATTTCATTCTAGAATAATTTTTAACAAATTGGAATCAACTTTTTAATCATTTACATAATTTAATCACAACATGTACTATAATTATTGCACGATATTAGACTATTGCACTGGTGCATCTTGTAGGTAGATCTCCTAACAAACTGTGATTTATGTGTGACGTGTGACGCAGTTAAATTCCTTAACCATTCAAAAACATTTTGCGCGGCTAACACCGATATCCATATGACGAAAATCAAGAGAAATACGTGCCCACCTTATACACTTAACCGTTACTCGAGTTTATGCTTTTGGATAAGTTTGAAAACTATATAAATTAAAAATCTTTTTCATTTCCTTTTAGAAAAACGTTCTTTTTAATTCTGGCATTTTTTCGTTCATGGCCAGTGACAACTCTCTGTCGTACCAGTTGACCCAGTGCATGAAGTGGTGATATTTTCTTACCGGACCGGTTTAGGTATAACTACTTCTGCTTTTGACCTTTTTGCCCAGAAATAAACGGAAATCGTTTTTAAAATTGATTTTTAAACAAAAAATTTATTGCATACAACTATTAAAATAAGTCTGAGTGAAATGTTCATTGTCATAGCAAACCAAAACAAAAATAAACAGTAATTAAGATCGTAATTAGTAGATAGTACTTTCTAGTCTTTGTACACACTCATATGTGTGCGTGTGTATGTTTATGTGTTGTATGTGTATTTATTATCTGCATATATCCTTAAATTATAATTAACATAAAAGTGCGCACTAAGTGCATTTGAATTGCCCAGCAAGATCAGACCTGCCTGCTGGAAGAAGTTTTTAAAACAAGCAATGCCTTCGTACAAAAACCCTTTTTATCTGTTTACTTTGTTTGTGTGTACATAAATTGTTAAATTGAAAGAATCCGCAACTCGACACTTTCCACGCTGTAGTCGAGTACAATATGATTATAGATAATGTATAATACGTATGCTGTGATTGTAAATAGCAACACCGATAACTAATGTCGAATTGTGAAGTCTTTATTCTAACAGGCTCTTTGTACAAAATAACATTCAATTACGAAACTCAAAAAATTGGCGAATGTCACTGAACCACTAGTTATGTCGAGTGGTGACAATTTGATGCGTAAGGAATTGAAAAAAAAAATCACTCTTTTTCAACAAAAAATTCATTTTGTAGATTTAGAGTACAATACGATAAAATAACGCATAATGAAAAATCAACAAAAGGTCAATGAACGCAAGATAGAAATTAGGCAAACACATATTAAGATTGTGCTATAATTTATTTCAATTGTTTAACAATTTCCTCTTTATTGTAATTAGTGATTACAATATCGTAACTCTTACACGGTTAAAAAGTTAAAATACAAACATTCGAAGACTGATGACATTAAGGTAAAATCCTTAGGAAATAATTGCTCTTGTTTTTGGCAACAGTTAAAAATGACAAGGCCATTTTGATTCCAAGTAACGAATGGAATCTGTTTCGTTAGTTAATTATTTCATGCTATAACTTCTTGATAATTAATATCAAAATATGTTACTTATAATGGTATCATTATAAAGATTATTAAAACATGAAATAGAGAAGTATATTTGTAAATACAGCAACAAAGAAGAGGTCAAACACTGTTCGAAAGTTCGAAACAACTGTATTATAGGTTTCCAACAACGCGAAATGATAAACAACAACGTCATTCAAAACAGTGAGATGCACCTCGCATGCAGTCGACACAATGTACGCAAAAATAAAAATAAAAAATGTGACTCATCTCTGGTCATACACCTACCCTTGCGTTCGTGGCCGGTAACTTTCCCGGTTGTGTGTTTTCGAACTATTTATAATGCCCTAAATCCGAGCGTTAACCTAATTTCGTTTGTTGGTAGACCAATCGGTGCAAAGGCACACGCCGGGGAAATCCCATATCGGGTATTTCGTTTATCAACAAATTTAAAAAAAAACTTGCTTGGGTGATGAACCTTATGAATATTTGGCTGCTTGGAAACAAAAAAAAATTGGTAGAATTGACAAAGAAAAATATTTTCAAACACATTATTTTATTGTAATCAAAATATATAATATAACATCAATAACAATAGGTCCCGAAGTGAACAATAAACAATGTGATATACGCAGTTTTGCTTATCATAATGAACAAAATAACAGCTCTATTACGTTTGAATTGTTATTGTTGCTTAGTCTCCATATTATCTAACCCTTTGTAAATAGCAATAGTAATATAACCTAATTCTAACGTTCACTTCGATAAGGCATTGTAATAGGCTATCAACGGTTCTTCGTTTTATGTACTCTTTATGTTCTTTAGTAAAACTGGGCTGCTTAATCTAATGCCTACTTCAAGTTTTTATCATTACAAAGATTATAAAAATTCTCAGTGTTGTTTTTTTTAATTTTAAACATTTTCGTTTTAAACATAGGGATAAATAGCATTTTTTTTCGGAATATCCTGAAACTTACTTAATTTGTGTTATTTAAAATATATTTTTTTACACAGACTTTATTTTACCTAATTAAAACATACATATATAAACACTCACGCCTGTCACCCAGAGGGGTAGGCAGAGACTACAGACTACAGACACCATCCTGATATACCTCTCTTGCCTCTTCCACATCCATATATCTACGCATACATGCTCGTCGGTAAGGGTACTCTTAATTTGGCCCATTTTTAGTATATCGCCAATTTGGTCCTAGGACGTCCCTTTCCGACTCTTCTATTCACTTCTGCAACATATATTTGCTTTGTCAGTCTTTGCTCATTCATTCTTTCCACATGACCAAACCACCGAAGCATTCCTTTCTTAATCCTGGTCACCGCATCATCTTGCAAACCACACTCTTTTCCTAATTAATTTTTAATTATAGTACGCAATTTTGATGTAGATTTTCAAAGGCAAATACGGGTGAAGCGGCTCGTCCCAAAAGGCAGATATTTAATTCAGCGCTAGGTAGGATCTACCACCTGCGAAAAACTCGAGTATGAGGGATGATCTGACCTAAAAACCATTTCGGACTTGTTAATATTTAAATCATATATCATTCGTTAATAGACCTTTCACGCTCCGAGTTTCTATGTGGAAATAGAAATGGAAATTACATTAAAATTAACTTTTCACCTTTTATGTTTGACACAATAAACAGTTTAATAGCCTTACTGCCAATAGCCGTTTTGCTATAACACGGGCTATGTTGGAGAATTTCATAAAAAATATAGTATCAACTAATGATGATGGATTTCCTAATCCATCATCATTAGTTGATACTGTATTTTTTTCTCTCACTGCTCTGCTCCTGCTCACTTTGCAAGCATTAATGTACCAATAAAGATAGCTTTTCCAAGAATGATAAGGTCTGTTCGCAAAAAAGCTCAGATAAAAAAACATGCGCTTTGTTAGGGAAAATTTAGTTTTTCATTGACAATCTTGTCAGTTTTTGCACTATTTATTAAGAAAAATTGTTATATTATTTTAAGAAACTTCTGCTTCGTCGCCCCATTTTACAATGTTTTTAGTGTCTTTACTAATAGACTCCTGCTAGAAAATGGAATTACTTCGGTTGATTTCTCATTTTTTATTTTAGGTAGGTAAACAGTTAAATATTATTAGAACAAATCCAGTAGTGTTCTAAAGTAAACTACTTATGTAAATAAACATTAATAGGACTTTGTATTGTTCATGAGAGTTACTACGCATATAGATTTAGAATATGATGGCGTTATTACGCATCTTATTTCAATCGGAAACCTTGTCAAAAACCTCACGACAATCATTATTTATTTTTAAATAATTTAAAATGTACCTATACTATGACATTTTTAGTGATACGGTTTAGATCTGATATAATCGATTTAATACTCCATTCTTTTTGCTATAATTACTATATACTCTCCATTGATATTTCATACCGTGTCCTTTCCAGTCCCATTAGATTGAAAATGAATTCGAATGCAATAGTGAAGAGTGTAGAGCCTTACCGTATAAACACTTCAGCAGTGAGTGTGTATATGTGTATATATATATATTAATTATTAATTTTACAATATTTTTATATATTATGAATTTTAACAACATTTTTTAAAATTTCCATTTATATTTTATATTTTAACGATTTTGAACAAAAATGTCGAATTAGACATTTCGGGACGGGACTAATATTATAGTTTTTAAAGACGCGAAGATGACCGTTATTGTAGGATTTATAATATTTATGGACATCTCTTTTAGAAATTTTTGATAAAGTTTTGCGAAACTAAAGAAAACTCATGAAACAACATATCTAATATCCCATTTTGAAATTCCAATTCATAGAGAAACCATTACGCTTATAGCGCTGGTTACAAAGAAATAAAGGAAAAAAACTTTTAATGTATGTACTTAATAAAAAGAGTTTAATATAATTCATATAATATATCTTGTCTAAAAGGAAGTCATGTTTTTTTTAATAACCACTACGATTCATCGATCATAGGCGTTCTTTTTGAAAAATTGCAACGCGTTGATTCCTTCTAGATTATTATAATAATTATACTCTTTGGTGTTTAACACTGCACTCAATTATTA